GAGGGGCAGCTGGACCCTCATCCAAGTCTCACCTGAAACTCATCCCACTTTTAAATACATATTTTCTTTGCCCAAGCAGTTTCTCTTTCAGGAATTCACCCCAAGCCAAGAACTGATCAAAAGTGCAGAGATCAACCATGAAAAGATGTTCATCACATAATTTTTTATAATAGCAAAAACATGGGAGTAAGTCACGTGCAGGTCCAGCAATACGTGACTGCTTAAATACATTATGGTACATCTACCCAGGGGAAGACCATGAACCACAGACAAGGCCAATGTAGGTCCACAGTCACTGACACAGAAAAATCTCTAAATATGCTTATGTGTTTTAAAAAAAAAAAAAGAGTAACCAAAAAGGCTATAAACAGCACGCACAGTATGGTCCCATTTATACATAAAATTATACATAATTTTATGATACACATACCATTCATATACAGCAAGATCCTAGAAAGATATTCACCAAACTTGTAAGGGGATGGCCTCTAGGTAGTGGGACTTTTTATTTTCTTCTTTATACTTTTTTGCATTATATTCACAATATGAATATATATTAGCTTTATTATCACAAAAAAAAACAATAATTTCAGATATTCATTTACGGGGGAAACAGGCAGACGTCGTACAATGGAATACTACTCAGGAACAAAACAAATCACTCGTTCCCACAACATGAATGAATCTGAAAAGCATCATGTTAAATGAAAGAAGCCAGACACACCCAAGTGTACACACTGTATGATCAGACTGTATGATTCCAAGCATAATAATAAATGAAAACTAAACTGAAGGTCTAAAACAGGAAAAACTAATATAACGGTAATAGAAATCAGAAGCGTGGTTGCTTTGGCGGAAAGGGAACTGACTGGAAAGCAGAACAAGGGAACTTTCCGGGACGATGAAAATATCCTCAGATGTTGCTGTTGTCAGCTGCCATCAACTCAGAACAAAGGGCAGAAGAGACAAAAAGAAAATACCAAAATGACAGATAAAACGCCAATCATATCAATAAAACCACATTAAACGTAAATGGTCTAAACATTCCCATTAGAAAACAATGATTATCTAATCGGATAAAAATGCATGATGTCACTATATGTTGCCTACAAAAAAAAAATGCACTTAGAATATAAATACATGAATGAGTTAAAAATACAGCATGGAAAAAGATAAGCTAAATGCTAATTAAAAGAAAGCTGGATGGGCTTTATTAATATGAGACAAAATAGATCTCAGAACAAAGAATCTTGCTAGAGATAAAGACAGTCATTCATGATAATATATAAATTCATCAAAAGGATATAAAATCCTAACCACTCATACAACTAAAAACAGAGCTTCAAACTGCATGAAGCAAAAACTGATAGAACTGCAAGGAGAAAGATAAATTCGCTATTATAGTCAGAGGTTCCAGTACCCTTCTCTCAATAACTGACAGAATAAACAAACCATCATTAAGCCTACAGAATACTTGAATAACACTATTAAGTAGCTTGAACTAATGGACATTTTTAGAACAGTCCACCCGAAACAGCAGAAAACACACTGACTTCAAGTGCACAAGAATATAAGACATTTTTGTGCCAAGACATACCACATTCTGGAGCATAAACTAGTCTCAAAAATGTAAAAGAATTCAGGTCATGCAAAATATATTCTCTAATTACAATGAAATTAACTTAGAAATCAATAACAGAAAAGTATACGGAAAATCTCCCACATAACTGAAAACTAAATAAGATACTTCTAAATAACTCATAAAACTTGTTGCCAAGTAGTCGATTCCAACTCACGGCTGAAGATTTATAAAATTAATAAACTTCTAGTCAAACTGATTAGGGAAAAAAAGAGAAAATGCAAATTACTAATATCAAGAATGAGAAATGCGACATCATTAAAGATTTTACACGCATGAAAAATAAGAGAATATTATGAACAATTTCATTGCAATAAATTCATCAGCTTAGATAAAATGGACCTTTAAGTCACAAACTACAAAAGCTCGCTCTAAAAGAAATGGATAATTTGAATAGTCCTATGTATATTAAACAAGTGGAATACGTAGTTAAAAACCTTTCCCAAAGAACACTCCAGATTCACCGGTGACTTCTAAAAAAAAAAGGTTAAAGAAGAAATAACACCAATTCTACACAAACTTGACCCAGCTCATTTTATGAGGCCAGGATTACTCTGCTCCGACAACCATACAAAGACATTACACGAAAATGAAGTTACAAGCTAATATCCCTCATGAACACTGATGCAAAAATTCTTAACAAAATATGAGCAAATCAAATCCAACAATATATGAAAAGGATACTATATCATGCCCAAAGCGTGTATACCAAGAACGCAAGGCTGGCCTAACATGAAAACTCTACATAATTCACCACATTAACAGACTGAAAATACAAAACCATGTATGATCATATCACTAGACGCAAGAAAAGGAGTTGACAAAATACAACCTGCATTCCTGATAAAAGATGGTTTGGGATTCAGGGGTCGTCCCCCACTTACCATTTTGCCTCCTAGACATGG